TTCTTTTCAATATCAAAGAAATTCAAATTCACATCAGGAAACGCGGTAGCGTCTCGCGCCTAGTTAAGTGAAAGTTTACATTTTATGTTTAATTTAACATTGTCGGATCTATACAATCGATGCATATATTATTAATTTACGTATATTACACTTTTTATTACGAAATACGAATAATTATTTACTTAATATATTGTAGTATTTTAATATTTAGCTCGCGATGTTTTTGGAACACCCAATCTTTGTAAGTTATGTATAAGTATGAAATGTTTAGGAAAATTGGCAATAAATAATATTCGGGGAATGGACAAAAGCGTCCCAGCTGTTCGATTTGACAGCATGCAGAGGATATTGGCCGGTCACCCGCACTTTCGATAACTGATCAGGAATGAGATTCCCGGTGCCACGTCTGGAATTGGTATTGGAAATTTGATAGCGGATCCGATAATCGTATCTCTCTAAGGCATCGCCGATCGAATTCTACAAACCGTGTACACGGCTTTAGGTTTACTTCTGGCGATATTATACAGGGTTATGTTACGAATATGGTAAGAACGAAACTGATCGTAAATAATGCACGAAACACCTATTTGAATAATATCATGCACGGTATTACATGCACCAAGCTCAGAAATAACACGAATTATTTTTTCATTTCATAATTTACACCCCATTAAACATGATGTTTTGTCTTCAGCTTTCATTTGAAAAGTTAAAAGATAACGATTAAGCAAGTTACAATTATCGGAAACTTATCGGGCGCAATAATTTGCACACATTTCCGCGTCAACGATACACTCAACGATAATCACCAATTGAAGTTATTGTTTAGCATTTAGAAATTTACTTTGAGTATCGATGGAATAAAGATAGAATTTGAATGATGAATTTCTGAAAAAAATACAACTTTATGCACTTGACACTTAATTGACTGTCGAGTAACTCTCGCAGTCTCGGAGTATCCGAGGTATCCGGAGCACCGGTGGAGCCGAAGCACTTGTCTCGTTAGACCCGATCCCCTGACTCGGTTCAACTGAACCGATCCTAAGTGCTCTGTACACACGGGCGCACTTTCATCTTGAGCCGCTTCTACCGCACTTCAACTCCCGCATATTTCGCAGGTGATTTCTGCATCACCGATATTTATTGTGCGGTAATATCCGCGTACGGATAACATTCGCCCGTAATATTCGCGGAAACGATACAGGCGACGGACTCTCTTGTTAGATCGGAGTGTCGCTCGATCGAGGGAAAACCTTGGGAACGGCATTCAATGTAGGGAGAAAAAAAATGTCTACGACCGAATGAATGCACGAGCAGTCCGATGCAAGGAAAAGATAAATACTCCTGAGATTTCCATGCATCCACGTCGGTCACGCGGATAGAAACGTCATCGGCAGTAGATGTTGCCCAGATTCTTTAGCGTCCTTAAAATCACTTTAGAAAGTAGGATCGGCTCTTAAAATCATCTTTGAATATGAGGTTCGACCGAACATTTAATACGATCATTTCTAAATAATACTTTTGATCGCTAAAGGAGGGACTATATATTTTTTAAACCGATGTAACGTAAAGACGTAATTCATTTTAGGTGGGGGAAGATCCGCTGCAGTTTTTACCTTGTGAATTTACGCGAAGCTCCCTGGATAGATTAATTTGTGCAATAGAAAAACTGATTTGTTACCTTCTCCCTTTTTACCCCGTGATAATGATTTATAGTAATCCGGAGACGGCACTTAGTTCCTCGAGAAATTCATCCTGCGGTTCGACCGGGATACTCCTGAGCAAGTCGACGCAAGATTTGCGACTGATATCTCATTTTGTTTGCCAAACATTTGTCCTTGGAAGCTTCAACGTCAGGTAACGCGCGCGAGGACATCATTGTATATTACGTTTTAAAAATGCACCTGCTAATTCGCTGTCCGTCACAATATCTCTCGTCTTTGAGCAGATGCACGGAAATACGAAGGGTTGTCCCGCGAATACAAATATTAACATCATCTGGTAATATTACGTAACAACGTTTTGGTTACCACTGATATCGTCGCGATATAAATCTTTTCTAACGCGACAAAAATGTAGGGCTACATTAATTCTCGTTAAGGTGAAATGAAATGCTCCTCAAATCAGTTGATTCGCATAAGACACCTTTTTCTAAGGGTATTGAACCGAACTGTCCGAAACTTTGACGCGTGACTCGTAAGCGCCTAAGAATTATCCTGACACTTTAAAAATTTGGATTTTCGAAAAGGTTCGTTTTGACTTATTCCAGACCAGGACCAAACTGGCATCCAGTAATCGAGAAACTCGCTTTTGATCGGGATAAAGGCAAAATAAGTGTCCAATGCGCTTCCGTCCGGGCGATCGGTCTCGTCGGGAATAAAGAGAAAGATGCCAGGATAGAAATGTTGCAATTTATATATAAATTCCGTATCGTTAGCGCCTGTTCACTGTCAACCAGCAATATTTGACGACACCCGTAAGTGCGCATACCGACCGAGGAAAAGCGACATTTCCCGCCCTCTGGGGACGAGGCATGAAAGTTCATCCCTGCACGATTACTCGCAAACAGTTGAGTACGTCCGGTAGTATACGGAAAGGAGTCGGCCAACGTTTGTCACCTATGTACCGTTTACAATGGACGGTATCGTACACATCGGCTGACATCTAAGTAGACCGCATTTTTCTAGGAATAGTTTCAGTTTCACTAAAAAAAAAATTACTTAAACGATCCCAATGACTTCGTATAATTACAAATCAGAGGTATTCAACTTCCATTGCTTCTTTAAAGATTTCCGGTAAGTTGATAACAAGTGTCACGTATCGGGTGACCGTAATACGGGGCGTCCCATCGTTCTTCGCAAAACATCATTTTTTGTAAATCCGCTACAATTACTTTTCATAAACTTAATTATTATTATTGGATTCATTCGATAAACCAGATCTAAGATTTGACGTTACGATCCGAATCCTATCCGTGTTGATTGACGTACGAGTTGTCGCGTTCAATGTACAAACGATGTGTAATCCAATTCGGGCATAATGGCACAATATACGACGCAGTACATCCTGTCGTTTGTGTCATTTTGTTCATTAAACGTTTGTTAGGCTGTCGACTTGTAAAATGAAGGCAACATTGGCGTGCGGTCATAAATCACCGATGATCGTTCTTATCAGTTATTTAGCTTTTCAAACGTGATGATTATTTTAATGCAAAACTGCTTGGGAAAATTCATTGAAAAAGGTCAAGATCGTTAGCGTATGCCAGTTGCACTGGGTAAGTGCAAGTACGTGCAAATGATACTTTTTCCCGTTCGCGTATTATTGCCTCATTTGTGTATCCCCTACCGCGCGTCAGCTGATCATTAAACGCATATTCAGAAAGGTGGACATTTCGCAATACTGTATTTAATGTACGCGATAAATAAAGGAAGCCTTTAGGACCGAGTCAAGGACATTCAGGCAACGTAAGAAAGAGTGTAATATGTCGGTAATGTAACTTAGATATATAGAGGGAAAACGAGGCCATCGGAGTGGAATATTCTTATCGTTGACATTTGTCAAATTGCGCGTCAGTAACTGGACTTTAATACTAATCTACGTAAAATATTTCATCAATTTTTTTAGACATTGTTTCTCCTCGAAATATTTACTACGATTCGATAAAAGCGATTTTGTGGTAATTAAAAATCAACATTTTCCGGGAAATATTGTAATATACGGCATGCCATGTATACGCTTCTCTCGTGTTTGTCTTGTATTAGTGTCTTATCAACGGCTAGGAGACTGTCAAAAGCAGACAGTCTATTGATAATTGTCCGTCGCGCTAAACGTGTCACCTAGTCGTAGCATTTGAGTCAAGTTTATCTTTTGTAATATTCGGCTATTACTTACAATATTTCTCGGAAACGACTTTTCGATACGTTTTTTAAATAAAATTTCTTACGGCATGGTAGTACGGGTAAGGTCACGTGTTACAAAAGGGGCGTACTTTGTAAAGTGAAGCGTTTTTCAATAATTAATTGCAATTTACATTTATCTTTGTGGTTTAGTATTAATACAACCAACCTAACTAGTTCCGTAACAACGATATAACCGTTACATACGTCTTTGTAATATGTAATATTATACATGTTATACTTACGTAAAATTTATAGTACTATTTCCTGTGTAGTTATAAAATATCGTTATGAAACGAATAATGTGACACACATAACATTTCGGTACCATATCATGTGTTATGTTAACGATACATAACTGCAATTACGAAACAGTAATAATTCGTTATTAATTAATATCAATGTACCTTTTGGATAACTTCTTTTATACATTATATTATTTCAGTGTTATTTAACTATAACATTCTGTACACGGTGGGATTTTGCATAATCGTTGTCGTTAAGGTCTTTGCGCTATTCTTTCGGATAATTATTAAGATTTAAAGTAAAATAGAACTCAGTTATGCGGCCGGGATTGCCCGCAAGCGTATCTCAATAAAAGAGTTTTTTTAATTCCATTAAAGATACTTATCAAAAACGAATGCAATTTGCTACGTTAAAACTAACTAGACGGCATAATTGTACAATATTACATGTACTAATTAAACCACTTTTTATCATACTTATCTCTTACGTAGCATGTGTGCGATATTACATCAGTGTTTGTGAAATACATACATACATCTATTACTCGCGAACGCTTCCTGTAGACTGCAAGATGAAGGATTGGAGGATTGCAGGAGAAAGAGGACGTGTCACTCAGATAACACTTCTGGATCCTATGAATGTTCTACGAATATTCATGTCGAATTTTTCGTTGTTTCCAGAATATCATGCAAATATTTAAGATATACAGTGAATATTCATGGAACGCAGAATGTCCGCCCGGTGGACAATCATATAATATCCACAGGAATATTTATTCAGATATTCACAAAATATTGTCNATATATATATTACGGTAAAATGATCGGGTCACAAATAACATATCGATATTTCAACTTCCTATTAGGCATTTTTGTCACTGTAGTTTCGAACCTAGAAATAAATATTCTCCTTCATTGGCAACGTATTATCATCTACGAAACAACAAAATGTATTCTCTGCATTTTACTTTGGACTATTTCGAAAACGAAAATAATTCAATATATTTACTGCAGAATCAAGGAATAATTATTTTAAAAATTCACATAAACATTTCTCAGAATATTCAAAGCATGTTCTGGCTTATAAATGTATATACGGAATCTTCTCTAAATATTCCAAATATCTAGGGTATATTTAAAGATTTAAAGAATAGTCATAGGTACAATGATGTTATCTGGGCAGTGCGCTCCTTTTTTCGCCTAGAATAATTCTTGTAATTCTATAGATATTGCGATGACCGAGATTGCTTTTGTTTACCCTAGCAAACGCGTAAGGGCATTTCGTGATAGCTTAATTAAGAATAATTAATAATATCTAATAATATTCTTTCACTTTAAAGATTCATTTACAATGCTCATGATTCTTCCACATCGACGTCTTTTTTTTTTTAATTTTCGATATTAAGATGGAAATTTTCCTAATATTAGAAGAGACAATCAGTTTGGCACCATCATTGTTTAGGGAATTAGTTCTTCAAAATTTTATTGGGCTTTCCTTATCTAGCACTTCAGTTCTCCACTAATGATTATTGCCGTTGGCCATTCCTGCATTTTGGACAATATACCGAAGGTTATTAGAATCGTCCAAGCATTGTTCCAAGAATTGTTCTAAATTTATTACGAAATAACTCGTTTTAAAAGTCTCAAGGGTTATATACCTTTTAGTATATTTTTCTTGTTTCTAAATTTGTCGATAAACAGTGCGGAATTCCGTGGCCTGCATGGAATATTTTTGCATGCCGTGATATCTCTCCCGATAACGGTTTGGGCATTTTTCTCACACACAAATGGTGGGACGATGAAGTATGGGAAGAATCCTTTACGCGAGTGTTACCTATTGTTGTATCGAAAAGTGATAAGAATGCTTCTAGAATTGCATGCAGTTGAATGTGGCACTGGGGTAAATCGACTTGTATCATCTCAAAGTATTCACGCGTATACGAAAATAGGTACGTATTTATCTATCCGGTACGCAAAAATGTACGTTATAGACATACGTTTATATACCTATTCGTGGACTGGGGAATTTAAAGGACAATCCGTAAAAACGATTTTCAAATTCATTCGTTCGTTTCCGTAATTAGGGTTGGAATTAAATCTCACATTAGTCTCAAGACTAGATTGTAATATTCGAAGCATCCGATAGGTGTCTTCGTAAAAAGAAATCACTTTGCCTCTTCCGTTAAGTTTAATGCTGTTTTATGTAAAGACAAAAACACCATACGATGCAAACGGTAAATTATACATCGTAGATGACGATTCTTCGAGACACGTTATTATAGCGAATTTTGTAAATGACCTATCCAACCCCTCCGCGGGCGATTGTTGCGTCTGTTGCCAGCCTATCTCTTATCTCTCGGTAATTCCTCCTCAAGGCTTCCTAGAGCATCTTTGCTCGGTGCTCATTGGGTCGCAGACAGGGGGCACTCGTCCGCCCGGGTCGCGAAAAGCATCCAAAGCGTACGAAGTTTGCCCTACACCTACATACTCGCGGTCATTCAAGAAGCCGGGCACAGGTTGTTTCACTTTCTCCCGCTGCTCCGCCGACTCTCCTTCTCGGCTTCATCTACGTCTCAATTATGGTCTCTCTCGTCTTCTCTTTCTCCGGGAGACGCGCGGCTTTCCGGTCTCCGTCCCACCTCGGGAGAGCGCATCGCGTCCTCTCCTTCTCGTTCGGCACCTCGCTGGGGCCCGTCTCTCTCGCTCTCCCCGCGGCAGAGCCGTTGTTTGTAGCGTCTTCTCGGTCGCACTCCCGGTGCCGCGGCGAATTGCCGCGCAGAAGCACAGCGTTTCGGTCGGCCGGCACGTTGGGGTATCCTCGTTGCGACCGAATCTTGGATTTAGTCGATGTTCGGCACTGCGGGAGTACGGTGGCGAACGGGAGTCGGGATCAGGTTCCACGGGGTCGAGAAAGGGCTGTCCCGAGCCGGGAAGGACTCCTCCACGAGGAGCCGCTCCACTTTTCCAGGCCGAATCGATACATCGGGATCCGGCCAGGCGGGGGTTGACCCACGTGTGTACCCGCCGTTCGGTCTCCCTGGACCCTAGGATAAGGATCGAACTCGGAGAGGCTCCTTTAAAGGTCTTTAGAAGAGCACGTGGGACGAAGAGACTTCCGCGTTCCTTGGAACAAGGAGAACGTCTTACCCTCTCGATAAGGCGGATGGGAAGGAAAAGAGGTGACCAGGAGGTTGATCCGAAAACTGCTGTTTCTAGCGGGTTTTCAAAGTAAAGAGATTTTGAGGAATTGAAAAAAAAATTTTGAGAGACGGGCTGATTTCCGGATGAGGAAAACGTGGAGAGGAAAGGATTTGGGCGGGGGAACTCTCCTGGGACGAAGGGGGCGGACAGGGTGGACATAGGTCGGGAACTTAATCAAAGGAGGGAGGGTATCCGGAGGATACTCAAAAGTGTCAAACTTTGACTTAGAAATTAGCAATCGGGGTGAGATCCACGGGTTTTAATCTTTTCTTTTTCCTGGTCTTAATTTTTCATTCGCGATTCGGTCGAGGGTTTGCTCTTCTTTTTCTCTTCCGTAAACGTTATATAAAATTCACGGGAAGCGCGAACTATTCTTGAAATTGTTCCGAAAGGTAGAAAGAGGGGAAGGAGAAATTCCGAGGGTCGGTATCCAGGTGAAGAGCATCCAAAAAGGAGAGCGAGACACGGAATTAGATCGCTCGAGTAGCCCAAGACTGGCGATAGTTTCCGATATTTTGTCGCTTCGTTCTGGTCGATATCGAATTGGGTCAATGCTTCTTCGTATCTGCTAGGAATCTCGTATATTTGAGTTAGGAGAAACGTAAGAGATAATTTGAACATTTGGCGCTGTTACGTTCGAGTTAGCGAGTGGTCCGAGGCGCTAAATATACCGAAGCGCGAGTGCGCGAACCTACCGCGTGGATTTCGCAACAAAATATAAGACCACTCGTGATATCCGTATCGTTTCCAATTTTTGCTTCTATTTTCTTCACGGCCATAAGAATTATCAATGATTCCTCCTACGTCGTGAAATTATGCATAATTGTTTTGCTTCGCGAAAGTGCACCCTCCAGCAATTTGTATGCAAATAAAAGTCACATGTGATGTGAATATCGCAGAAGCGCGAGAATACTCCAAATAGTCAGATTTATAATTACTTTTGTCCCCGGGAATTCTTTCCAATAAATTTTCCAGATAAAGAAATTATTATCGATAATTCTTGGGTGGGCGAGAAACACGCGGAAGTTCGCCCGTGAACCTGGATCGGATACTTCGGGAGATCATTTTTGACGTGACGTTAGATTACGTCGAGAGGGTGAAAATACGTTCACGATACAGGTAGATTACCTCTTCCGGATAAGAGAAGTATTATCAAAAATTCTTATCCCGGGCGAGAGACCAACGGCCATTTCGACCGAAGAATCCGCGAACACGTTGGGAGAAGATATCCCTCGATTCGTCGCGACATCGCGCGGAGTATACGTGGCGATCGTTCGATCGTCGCGCGGATGATTCTCGCTAGAAAAAGAGGTTTTAGCAATGATTCCGAGCCAGACATAAATTAAGCGCCACGCCGCTTGCAAGCTGATCCCGCGACTTGGGTGTAACGGGCGATGTGTCATCCCAATCGCATCTCGACCGACGGTGAGTTATCAACGAGTTTTGATAATTCTTATCGATACGTATAATTATTGCCCTTCGCTCGGATCAGACGTTTCCGTCACTCGCGTGTTTGGCGATGTACTTATCTTTTTGGTGAATCCTGGGTACGTATCGGTACTGTTTACATCGGCAAATGATTTTTAAACATTTTCTTAGGGGGTTTCATTTTTCATTTGACTATCAACTGCAAATAAAAAGTGTAATTAAACGTTCCATCGATCACAAATTTAGAGTTAAATCGATATTTAATTTTCCATCAATGAGTATATAAAAATGCTTTATCTTCATTTTTATTTGAGTGCGTTTTCATAATCGAATTTTGCAAAGATCTTGACTTTTTGTACCGGCACTGTGGTTTGTATTGGCGAGACGAAATTATTTTAAAATTACGTTGTTGATACTTGGGATGGTAAAACTGATTAAAAAAAAGTGTTGATCAATCAGGAAGAGGACGATTTAGTTAGACAATTATGCAAGCGGTATTACGTTCTCGTGAGATGTGACTTAGTAGGTATGCATAACTGTTTAAAAAGTGTTGAGCCGTCTGTCCAGAATTTGTGGGTCCGACGCGTCTCTTGAGGCGGATTATTTCGAACTGTGGCGATCGATTCGCTCTCGTTCGCCATTGATTTCCATGAAGTTCAGGTAAAAGCGTTCTCCCTGCTCTGGAGAAGCTTCTTAATAAAAAAAAAGAAAAAAAAAGTGGAAGAGGCGTCCTAGAAAAAAGAAGTCGGAAACGCAGGGCGGATGAGGTCGCTGCCACTCGAGCTGCTAAAAATATTTCCCTAGCCTCAGGCCGCGAGATAATTTGAACTTTTGTTAGTTTCCTATTTGCCACGGCCCTAGATGCTAATTGAAACTCCGGAATCTACTGTCCGAATGGCCAACAAGGTGACTCAAGTGTGACGAAAGAATGCTGGTGTATCTGCCGTTGCGTTTTTCCACGATGATCTTTAGTCGAAGGCGTTGATTTAAAGCCACTTCGCACAATAGTCATCGATTGGACGGTCGGGAATATCAATGATAATGATAAACATGGAAATTAACGCCGCTGTTGGAATCTCGGTGGCAACGTGTTTCGTGCATACGAGTTACAGCCGCATAGAATTTTCATCCATCAGGGGATTTCATCGTCGGGAAATTGTGAAATAGAAAATAAAGATACGAGGAAAACGACGAATGCATCGAATGCGTAAAATGTCAAACCGCTCGGGTGGATGATATTTGATGAAACGTTGAATACTACATACTACGTGCCGATTAATTAATATAAATAATAGTTTTCGTAGCCAAAGGTTCCTCTTTGGTTATGAATAAGGAATTTCTTTAAAATCGGCGGGAAGAATTCGCTCGTCCTAAAATGCGGACTCGTCGAATCAGAGGTATCATTTTCCCTGATTATTCCCTCTCTTTCGAATCTAGATCGTTAATGACCGTGTGGTGACAGAGCGATTTACGAGCGGTGGGTGTGCCTTTTGCTGTTCATTGGAATTTACGATTAGGAGTAGACAGTAGGTAAGATACTTGGAAATTTGACGTTTTCTTGACGAACGATGATTCGTATGTAGGTATAACGAGCGTTTACAATCTCGTGACTCTGTTACGACCCCTGAGTATTTTGCAATTTGATAAAAGTTTGGACTTCTCGGTGAAATGTTTCCTCCTAAAATTAATGTAACTTCGTGCATCTTAAGGCGAGGTGAAAGTGACGTCAAAGTCGTCTCGTTTATGAAACTTTTCTCCGAATTGGGTGTACCTACATCGTATTTCCTTAGCTTGTTCCGATATACGGGACACACCGACAGTACCATCTATTCTATAGAAAACGAGCTGACAAGTTTAAAAGAGGTGGTAATAAATGGAGCATGGCAATAATTGGGGGATCTATCTTATATTAAAGTATTATTAAATGTTAAAATTTAATGTTTCTCCCCTCGAACATTTGGGAATGAATGATTAGGAAAATTGGAAACGATCCGTATTAGTCCAATTAATTTGTATAAATGATCAATGTGCCAAAGTTGGGCAGGGTCTTCTCACCATTGACATTTCGACGGAAGTACCGAATGATGGTGACGTACCCAACGGAAATGGGGTCCCTGGCACGAAGGTTACAAGCTCCAATTTCCGGCGAGTCCCACCTAAACCTTCCCAGTGCCTCGATGGGGTGTTAACATGGCGGAATGTAATGGAGGACTTATTGCTCGACTTAAGTGGTTTATAGTCGTTTTCCTGTTAGCGAGTGGCGGGACGAGTGATTTATTAATCTTAGAACATTTCCGTGTGTGGGCATTGGCGATTCATTTGCACAGAAAAGTCGTCACATTTAATTTACCATCTGACAGATCATTTCATTCCGCTTTTATTCACTTTTGTAATTGTATGCAAATACAACCATTGAAAAACTACTTGCACTGAGACAAAAAGAGCTGGTAAACCGAACAACTTGATACCGTTAAAACCATTTCTGTTAAAGAAACGCAATTTATTGCTTGATTTACTGTTAATCAGTAGCTACGACTATCTTGACAATAAAACCAAAATTTAACCCGTACTTCTAAAAATTAAATGACAATTTTTAAGACAGAAACTTCTGATATTCATCGCTAATGTGAAAAAAAGTAATGTATTAAAATGTGAAATATTTCAACCGTATATATCAGTAATATCTATACGCGATATTCTGTATTTAACATCTAGGTTCAATTATCCCTCTATTTTCCCGATGCTAGGAAATCGCAAGTAGATTCTGTGATTATAAGAATATAACAACTTATGAGACAAACCATAAATATAACTACCGTTTACATATCAAAAATTGTCATAAAGAAATATACGAAGCAGTTTACGTTTCGTACTTCACGGCACGATCAAATCGGAATTTATACCCGCGTTATTAGCATTGGACTATATTTATTGTTGATAATATGTAGCAATTACCAGGCACTGGTACACCCCCCGATGATAAGTGATCGATTGATTAATTTCTTGTACTATACAGAATTCGACGGACGACCGGATCGGTCGCCTACGTTGCGATCTCTTTATCTTTAACATGTGGTAAATGTCCTGATAATGAGGTTTCGATACCGTCTTCAAAATCAATCTTGATCAATCTAGCGCGTGTATTGCGATAATTTCTGCAGCAATTAATTACATTACGTGTAATGAACATAGTACTTAATACAAATCAACTTCGCTTAAAATGTTTTTAAACCAATGTTTAATTTTGCCTGCATCACGTAAGCATGACATAATGTGTTCATTTTCTGTTTAACGTGAGTTATTAATTTATTGTGACCTCGTAATCGCACTTGTCTGGTCCTACGTACGATTTGTAAGTAACCAATTTAGCTAATGTTTGCGAAATGACACACTCGTCAGGGCGAAGTTTATTTAAAAGTCTCGTGACATTTTGCGCACGACGGAAATTTTGATATCGAATCAGTGGTATCGTTTGAAATTCGTTTGAAATAAATAATAATTAAACTCTGTAAACTTTACACTTAGTATTTTCTAGTTCGTGTAAAAAAATTAATTATCTAAATATATTTGACAAATTGAATATACGGTGTTGGCCTAAAATGAGCTTAAAACGTGTCAAATCATTTTTCGGGTCTATATGGACGAAGCTACTGTCAAGGTGTTGTTAATAGTTTTTATAATAAAAAATGGTTTAATTCTTATTTCAGGGAGTCAGAAAATTGTCCTAGACGGCCTCTCTTAAGAAGTCGAAGATCTTCGCTCATTGGAGGGATTGATAACGTCGCATCAAGTGGACCTCTTCCCTCGACTTCGGGAGGAAATGAAAAGTTCGATTTACATGGTAGATTTAATATTTAATAGGAGCGCATAAAATAATTGTCCAGATCTTTAATCTTTTCAGTTACTACTCGTTCTTTTACCTAAGGTGTGACGACTTTCAATCATCAAACATGCCGAAAAATCAACCGGATTACGTGAAAGCCGTCGAGGGCGGGATTCAGCCCACTCAGGTAAACGAATGAGTCCATTATTAGTTTCAATGTATTTAAACAAGCAAATAGATTTATTATTCTAGGTTATCGAAGCTGCGGCGTTACAATGCGCGGGTTAAACGCAGAAGCGCAAAATTATATAAGAGTTAATTTAACTTGAGGTCCACCGGCAATACTTGCGTTCACCGTAACGATAAGATCATTCGAAAGTACAGTTCATTTAAGAATATTGGACGAATTTAACCTCCACATTAAATATATGTCTCACAATGGCAACGTAATTACGATACTTTTTCTGTACATAAAATTCCGTACACTACGAATGAACTAGGCCATCACCGGCGCGTGACCGGAGCGTTCGCTAGATTCACGAGCCCATCTCATCCTCAAGCTCGCGTCATCCAAAGAAATGTTTCCTTCAAAAGCTCTTTGGCCTGAAATGGGGAGCAATTTTTGTTCGAAACGTTTTCCGATCTCACGCTCCATTTTCCCGAAATACGGCGTCTATCCGCGATTAACCCTGACGCACTTATGACGTTCGTTCGGCTTTAGGAAAAGCACCAATGGCAACGGATAACGCACAATTATCCCCACAATTATATATACTTTTACTTTTCCCCTTTTCTTTCGGTCCGATATCGAAATATTCCCCCGACATATCGAAACTGTTGAAAAATAAAACGATAGCCTATGCCGGAACTTCGCGAGTCCTCGTAATCACCTAGGCGATTAGGCGCGGGAGGCTCGCGAATGGTCAGGGCATTGTGACAAATTTGTCAAGGCGAACTCTTTTTCGAAGTACTCGCGCGATGGAGATCCAGTTATAGACCGAGGGAATTTGACCGATAGGCTCATTGTCGGTCGTACCGTTTGTCCGTCAAGACCGCGCGTCTCTTTGAGAGTCCTTTGCACCTCGACGAAGGCGATAGAAATCGTAACATGCTCTCGTTGCGCAACGTCTGAAACCTCGCGCGCGAATCCGTGGGAAGTTTTATCACTATTCGCGCAGCCATGGAGGTGAGCAGAGCGAGCAATGGAATCCCCGATAAGAGGCGATTTCGCCCAAGCGTAATCGATCGATCGATCGGTTCCAGGTCGTCGAGACCAAGATCTACAAGAGGAGATGGCTCATCTTGGCGATCTTCGTCCTGTACAGCGCGAGCAACGCCATGCAGTGGATCCAGTACAGCATCATCGCTAACCTGGTCATCCAGTACTACGACGTTTCCAGCTTCGCTGTCGACATGACCAGCATGATTTACATGATGACTTACATCCCGCTCATCTTCCTCGCCAGCTACCTCCTCGACAAATTCGTAAGGACATTTCGTCCGTACTTTACTTTCGAAGAGAGCTTTCATTCGTCCGCGTATCGCGTACCGAGACGTTGTAAGTCGATAAGGAAAATCAGCTGATTCAACGGCACCTATCGCAGATAAAGGCTTTTTCGCGGATTAGGGCAATTTTTTTTTCACTCGCTCGGGAACGTCGAAGGGACGTTTTATTTCGTCCAGATGGCAAGCTGACTCGATAAATTTGGCGGAAACGTTTTAAGGGGACATTTTGGAGTTTTGCTCGAGTCGTGCTCTGCTCGACCTTGAATGTAGAGTACCGTGTGGAGTGCCGCCGAGTGCATGTCGATAAGGAAAGTAAGTCGATTCAATAGTGGCTATCGAGAGTATGTTAACAAAGGCTATCGAGAGTAAAGGCTGATTTTTTCATTAAGGCACTTTTTATTAACGATTAATCGATCAAGGAATTGCATTTTTTAAATTCATTTTAATCGCTTACAATTTTGTTTAGAAGGTGCATCATTTTGCATATTTTGGGATGTCATTTGCGCGTCGATAAGGAGGGTAAATAGATTCAACCCGGACTGTCCACGATACGAATGATGATTTTGTATATAAAAAAAAATAATGGTTACCACCTCGAAGGTTGGAAGAGGATTTCGCGCATCCGTTGCATCGCCTTGCAGTTTAGACGAGCAGGATAAAAGTAGGAGCGATTACGCGTTTAATCGAAGTTTGTTCGGCTGTATCACGAGCAATCTGGGGGAAGAAACGTAAGAATTGCGATAGGTAATACTACGCGTGTGTTAAGGCCGGGCGAAACCTGATAAAGGATGTGCCAAGAATCTGTAATTTGTTATCTAAGAAGTTATCTCTTCCGAAGATCTCGTGTCATTGTGTCGTTGCTTCAGGTATTGCTGAAAAGACAGGAGGCCTCCATAGGAATATATTTATTCCAAGCATTCGATAAACAGCGACCAATAATTTAGCTCGACTTTTCATTTATTTAAGATATTTGATATTCATTTAGTCCGGACATCAGGCTTATTTTTCTAATAGTTAAATGAGGTGCCACGATGCATCTCGTACGTCGTTAAATTTACTTTAATATTTTATTCCACGGTAGTCGAGGATTTTCTACACACCTTGTAAATTGATTTGTCCGGTTCGAAAATCCACCCAAGTTGAATTCCAGTTGCTAACGGTGCACCTTAAGGCACCTGTCGATAAAGAAGCAACGACTGTCCCTGAAACTAGTAGTAAAGATTAAGAGCACTTTCGCAGTGCACTTGACGGAAAACTCGGAAACGAAGATGCAGATCGACGCGTAATTACGAGTCTATTGTGTTGACGAGAGTTAATGACAGGTGTCGAACGGACATGATTTTTTCGTTTCCGTATTTCAGGGCCTCCGGTTCGCCGCAGTGGCAGGCGCTACCGGAACGGCTTTGGGAGCATGGATAAAAGTCTTTAGCGTGGCTCCGGATCGGTTTTGGGTGACGTTTCTTGGACACACGTTTGCTGCCATAAGCCAGACGTTTATTCTCTCCCTACCCGCGAGATTGGCTGCCGTTTGGTTTGGTCCAGATCAAGTTAGCAGTGCTTGCAGCATCGGAGTCTTCGGTAACCAGGTAAATGAATTGGGAACCATGACGAGGAAAAAGGATGCACAACGTTTCATAGATTTGGAGGTCCTTTGTCCAAGGACTCGAATCCTGGGCCGATGGTGGTCTCATAGGCAGGGTATGATCCAGATACTGCAGTTTCAGATTTACATTTGCTATATCGGAACAAGTTAGATATTTTATGTCGTTACATAACTGAAACACACGTTGTACGTTTCGTTCCCATTTATGTAGGATAATTTTTCGTTTGTTTTGATGTGTACGATGTATAGATCACAATTTCATGAGGTCGTGATGAGTCTATCAAGTTACTTGTTCATGTGATTAGGCGCGAAACCAATTTCGCTGACGTTCCCACGAGTAATTTTACATAAGAGTAGGCTTTAATTGGAAACTAGGAACGTCCTTGCACGTAGAGATATCGTTGTCGTTTAATTTCTTCGATACCAGCAATTCGCAATTATGTAATTGATTTATGTCGTAGGAAGGTCAAAGCTCGGATAAAACTTTATGGATTGAATGAACGTAGATACCAATTTTCTTTTCCAGTATAAAAAGCTGCACTCACGCTTAGGTTAAATATGTAAGTTGCATAGCTTTTGGAGTTAAAGTCAAATGCAATTTAACGAAGGGTCGTTCCGAGCGATCGAAGCAGAGGTATATCGTAATTATTTTTATTGAGCCTCAATTAATGACAACGATGGCAATTTCTGCTTGAATTTTGTCCGAAGAGGTGAGCCATTTTTTCCAGTCCACCTTGTAAATTCAGGAATGTAACGATCTCTTTCTTATCTCAAAAAGAAAACAGGGACCGACAGGTCGAACGAGTCGTGACTATTTTTGGATCTTGAAAACAAGATGAAAATCTTGTTTTTCGTCCCTGTCGGCAATTCGATGCAGGTCGTTTTTCGGAATGACGAACCGGTATTTAAGAGCGACGAAACGTACATGGAATTTTGTTGGACTTCTTAGAATACTTTGGGAAGTATAACTAGCTCGTACTTGAAACTTCGGTCTGTTTTAAAAATCATTCCTACGATCCAGTAACGTGCAGTTACCTAACTCGACAACGTAAGTAATGTTGGAGTTTATGCCCCATATTGCGCAATCGTATCGCAATTAGTATTGTTATACCTATTTGGATAGTTGCACGTGCAAATTCGAATGTCTTCGGAAGTTGCATGCAATACGAATCTCCATTGACAGATTGGTACTGCTTAGGGTAACGCGTGATTAAACCTGGCATTGATCTTGAGTGCCGAGTTGGTCAACTCGTGGATATTTATTTCCGTCTCATTTGCATTTCCATTGATCGTAAGGTCGAAACACTCGAGGTTAAATTATTATTTGATCATTTAGGATCAATACCACTTTGAATAGCTGAGGTTTGTACATCGATTTTGGAGGCTTTATAAATATTGCATAAATATCGCGGCACAGGGAATATTATAAAAATATTCAAGGTCGAAACCTCGAATTCGAAACGAAGAACGTATCCTGCATACGACTTTGCGTTATAAAAATGCAACAGGCTTATTCCCAAATTTAATTTAACTCGGCTTGAATTTTACATTTTGTCAAGAAACGATTTGACGTGGAATTCAGACGGTATGAAATTGCAGTTGGGTGTTGCGATGGGATTCCTATTCCCTCCGATGTTGGTGCAAAGCAGTCCAGACAACGAAGTGATTGGTCATGGCCTAAGCGTCATGTTCTACATCATAGCCGCATTTACATCCATCGTCTTGGTTCTAATTTTACTGTGTACGTACTCTGTCTCAGCCGATACCGAATTCTATTAAAATAAGTCCATTTTTATACGTTTGAGCATTTTTCCAGTCTTCAAAGCTGAACCGCCATTACCACCAAGTCCTGCACAGGCGGCGCAAAGGGACGTAGAATCCTCCGAGGACTTTCTGCAATCCATAAAAAGACTCGTCACCAACGTTGGGTATCTTTTGCTCATCCTTAGCTACGCCATTAACGTTGGGATCTTCTACGCTATCAGCACATTCTTGAACCAAATCGTGCTCGAGCATTTCCCGGTAAGTAATCCATTGGCCCTGTTTTAGTTTCTTATTGCCAAAAGGATGTAATTTTGATTTTTACCAGTGGCTCCCGAACGAGGTTTCTTTGAAAAACTCATATAGATACCCTCTAATTATCCCCCATGTTTGAAAATTTGCCGAATTTGCGGGTTAGGGAACTTTCCTCGTAAGTACACAAGTCTTGCCAAGAAAATAAAGGAAACGATCGCTTTCAGGGTCACGAAGTGGATGCAGGAAGGATCGGTTTAACCATTGTTTGTGCCGGGATGCTGGGCTCCGTCGTGTGCGGGGTCGTCTTAGACAAGACACACAAGTTCAAGTAAGTTTTTATTGGAATTCAAAGATTCATGACGGAAAGTTGACGGAAGTTCAGGGGTCGGGGTGGTACGGTCTACGGATTCTAGCGTTGGCGAAGTTTAGGCGCGTTGTCGCGTAAAACCGACCGGCAAATTTGGGTTCTTGACCATAACGAGGTTTTATCACCCTCGGCGTCTCCGTTGCTCAAAATATTGATTTTAATTAAATTTGTAATTGCAGGGAGACCACGCTGGGCGTGTACTTGTTCTCGCTCCTAGGGATGATCGTCTTCACGTTTACGTTGGACAACGGAAAAATTTACGTGGTATACATTACCGCCGGTTTACTCGGGTAAGATACTGCTCCGTACTTATTCACAATTCTATCAGGGTAAACAACGTCGATTGTCAATTTTATTACGGCTGCCTTCTATCGGCGATTGGCGGATTAACACCCAAATGATTATACAGATTCGGTGATATTCTTTCCGAGAATGAAATCGATAACGGTCTCGTAACGATGTACGTCACGGAAGAGGCCGCTCGTTCAAACTTTGTATCCGTATTCCTTTCGAAATACTTGCTGACAATATATATGATGTTGTATTTTTTTTGGAAGGGAGAAATTTTATGTTCTAAAATCCACGTGTCGTTTAGAGATCTGTTTTTTGGGAAGAAAGAAACGCGGCTTACCGATGCATCGAACATTAATACGTTTCTTCATTGACTTTCGGGACGAATGAAGAAATAATTTTAAACGCATCGTTTAAATTGACGAAGTACCGTTTTATTCCAGCTTCTTTATGACCGGCTATTTGCCAGTTGGTTTCGAGTTGGCAGCAGAGCTGACCTATCCGGAACCAGAAGGGACGTCGGCTGGACTCCTAAATGCGGCCACGCAAGTCTTCGGGATCGCCTTTACGATGCTCTACGGGTACATCTTCAGCAGCTGGGGCGACTTCATCTCGAACATCGTTCTTTGCATCTCGTTGGTCCTAGGGACGCTCCTCACCACGATAATCCCGAACGATTTGAGAAGGCAGAACGCTAAACTCTAAACCATTCGGAGTTGAGTAACGATATTCGCCGGTCGAATCCATGCCCGGAAAACAGAGATATCTCAATGTGGTGTTCAAAGGGAAATCGGTAATTGTGCCAAAACGTTATAATGTATGCGCTTCATAATTTATGCGTGATTCTAAGCGGTGGTCCAGGCCAAAGGCGGCGCAAGACGTGTGCCATGAACGGACCGCCGACAAATAATGCGTACATACGTGTATATACCCAAAGCCGGTAGCTATATTTTATTGGGGGTTCTTACGAATCACGATGTCCGTAACAAATGGTCTTTAAGGACGATGGAGCGTTACGAACCCGTTCATGAGAATCGATGCAGATCTGTGACCGACAAGTACATATGTAAACTGACCATGAGCTTTTCTTTAGACATTCCGAATGGAATTGCAGCGGACAAAATGCATCGAGTGAGGGCAAATATGTGGAATCAATTTATGTGGAAAAATATCTTTGGGTGCCGTAATGTCGACTCTGAGATAATGTTCAATGAAGCGGAGCATGTAGAACCATATGCAATATGTATGCCTAGGATTTTTCTTAATCCTGAAATAACGTCGACTCAGAATGATATAGATATATCTAAATATATATATTTATGTACATATACATGTATAGAAATCGCGATATTTTCCTTAAATAGGGCAATTTTGCATAGTGCAGCAGCAATGTGATACTACTTGCGAGATATCGGTAAGATGTTTAAAGAGGAACGAGGTACGGATTTAAACGTGCATTGTCTCGTGAAATACAAGGTGCCGATTTGTGTCTTGAATAATTCTTCGAGAGAGAAGCTTGCCTGTAGATTCGGTCAAACTTTTCCAAGTCTCGATTTAAATCGTAATCAGAATAATCATGTCGGCAATTTTTAGACGACGTTTCTCCTAGCATTATGCGAGACACGATTTCACGTTGACAACCATAGGCGGAACCGGTAGAAGACAATCTTGACCTGATAAAATGGCCTTGGGATGAATGTTACCCAAAGGCCTCGATTTTCTGTCTAGACGTAGCGCGTCAATTAAGGTCCAGACACGTAGACATAAAATATTAATATCGTAATTCATAAGCCAGCGATGTCGCATTAAAGGTCACTGTACATTTAAAGTTTATGAACGCCCGAGTAGTTACACGTACAAAATGAACGACAAATGAGGATTTCAGACCTCGGCGACGAGGTCTTCCTACGTTCCTAGTATTTCGAACAATTGCGACATTTTGTATAATCAGACATGCATCCTCATCATGGTACATTGAACTTTCCAAGTGCGAGTTTAGACGCGACAATAAGTGAGGGATCTTGTGACGAAATTACCGGACTCCATGTTGCCGGAATATTCGTACGTAATGAGCTGAATGCATTTCTGTGACGTAAATTTGTGACAAGAATTGCAGAAATTTTAGTCTTATGACAAATTGGACTTTAGAATAGTAATCACGTGCAATAGGAGCTTTCGGTAACACGATCATTCCTTGAAAGGACTATAGGAAGACAATAACCAAGTAGGGAGAATTTTATGGTTTTAACAGGGAGGGACCCATGTCCAGGAGAAAATAGTTTTTCTCCTTATTCGGATTACATCTGACGAGAAAATAATCTCCCTTCCGATTTGTAATGTCCCAGAACACATAACTCTCGGTTAAAATTAATTTAACGATGCATTTTTTTATTAGCAATCAGTAATAAGAACTTTACTCAAAAGCGCTACTTTTAATGAAGGCTTCGGACTCGCGTCAGTCCTAATATTAATTTATAGATGTAACAGTTTTGTTAGATTTTATCACGAGATGTAATAGTTAAATCGTTGTCGTTAATTCGAATTCATTCTTCCGATTCGCTGTGTAGGTTTCTAGGCTGAAGTGTTTTTAATTGCGTTCAGAGTAGACAGATAGCGGAGTAATATTTTGGATTTGTTAATTATGGCTCGACGGAGTGACAAACATTCAGGGTGTCGTATGATGTGAGCATTAGAATCGTGTCTTCCAGCTGAGAGAGGAGGGTGGTAATGTTACAAATAGGAAAAGCGAGACGTAGACGCGTGGGACCATGTATTGCAATTATGAATACAACACGAGGTGTCGATTTCGTACTTGAAAGGAACGCTTCGTCGATGCGATGTGCTTAATAAATTGAAGTACACCTGTACCTTCTACAGTTGATATTCTAAAAACAGCTAAAAAATATTTTTCTAAAATTTTGTAAATATTTACCTAATCGTTATCGAATTTGCAGTGAAAATTGTTAAGCTAGTAAGTAAATAAAATACACAGACGGAGAGTGATGAGCTCATTGTTATTTACATGGTATATTAATCGTGGAAATTGAACACATAGTACGAGATCGACATTTCCTCTGTATAATTGTTACCATATTTATATTTTATATACCTCCTTCTAAAGATGGATTCTATTTCTTTACGATTAAACGCATACGATGCGATGCAAGTTGTATCGCGGTAATGCGTAATCCTGAAACGATTCTAGTTCAAGTGCATACAGTAATTGCATTTCGTAGATTAAGAGTACGTTACGTAATTAGTACCGTGTACAGCAAATTTAAGGTCTGTGAAATATTTTGACGTATCGAAGGAACGTTCAAAGAACAAAGTAGGAAATTTTGCAATATTTTTGTAGACATATTTTCCACATAAAGGTACCTCAAAACATGGATCCATAGGGTGAACGTTTTATTTTTTAAGCATTCCGCTCGTCGGATGATATTTTTATGCCGATTTTATATTGATACAAAACATATTAAGAGGTCCGACCTGTACCGTACAACGTATCCGAACAAAATGTGCAATGCAAAAAGTTGGGGATATTCTTCATTTTATGTTGTCACGGATATGAAAAATTCCGAAAATATATATACAGGAGTTGTAAAAGTCTCTTGTCGATTCTTGAATGCGTGGAAATAGCATAGGCGGAGATACGTTGTTGTTTGCGCAGTTTTTCAAACCCATTGTCATATCATCGATACGTTTATTGCATTCCATACGATGCGAATCATCGATGATTCATCCTATGCGTATACGAATTCATACGCGAGCTCGGAAAGTACGTCCGAGAAACTCCATTAACTTTATCCATTTTATTAACAAGACGGAGAGGCAATATATTAATAAATTATATTTGCGATAGAAAAGAAGCGTAAAAATTCAACTGTTCCGAACAGGTAGTTAATTGTGAGAAAAGGATGTTAATAAGTGAATTGTGACCTCACCGGACTTGTATAGAGATAAATGTTGCAGTATAATCGCAATAAAGATATGCGAATTGACGTAACACCTTTTTCCTACTCATGATATGCGTAATTCTTATTCATGCGGATCGATTTGAATTTTACCAAAGAATTTCCTCTGGCAAGGGATATTTGACAATATATTCTTTTGAAAATTGAAGTGCTCAATATTTGAAGAACATTAAGAACGACGGATTTTAATTGCGCTATTTAGAGGAGTTATTTCAGTTCTATCGATGCTCTCGACGGTTCTTGCCTTCGATGAAACTCGTTCACTGCGGAGCGATTGAGTTATCAGCAGCGTTAGCGCGATTCCGTAAATTCGTGGGAATTTTTTTCGTAAGCGAATCGGAACCAAAATTGCAGGTCGAAACAGTGCGCTACCGTCTACATTGATTTATATCGACACGTCGCGAATGGGAATCTGCCCCTCTCGTTACATTCCTTCATCCACTCGTGACATAATATATCGCTTAGGAGAGGGTCCGACTTGCACGCAAGAATGACTGCCATCGATCACGAAGACAGACGCCGGCGGCCCGTTTTTGCCATTTCTCCTTTTCCACGATTTCCCCCCGTTCGATAAAGCTTGCCCTCTTCTAATCTCTAATAAAGGATACGAGGAAGAAATACCGTTTACGAACGACCATTCCATGAACGTCAACGAATCGCGGACGAGGGCGCTACGAATTTCCTAGGGTGTTGAAATATCGAGCCGGCGCGTCAACCGGGACAATCGCGAACGTCGAATCATTTCCCCTTTCCTCATTTTTCGGATTTAGTTTTCGGCTCGACCGTGTCGACGAACCGACATTGAACCGCCAGCCTAGCCTAATTTCCTCCGATGGAAGGAAATCGATTTCCCCCGTCCGTGATTTTTCATCTCACTTAGTGGCGACCCGATTCGCCGTTCGCTCGATTAATTTCACGAGCCGAATGCCATAGGGAGTGCCGATCGTTTTCGAATCCTGCATTCGATTGCACCCGAGTGCATTTTCACCGCGGATCGCGCTCGTACGGCCCGGGGAGGCTTTTATTCGCCATTCGTTTGTCATAAACTCGGCGAATCGCTTCCTGGAGTCCCTACGGTGTCTTACTTCTCGCCCGAAGAATGCCCTTCCCTTTATTCGAAATGAGTCACTCTCGCGTCCTTCGTCATTTTTACGAGGGGAAAAAAGATGCGTTAAGAGAGAAACATCTGGCCTTAATGGACCTTCCCCTTAAGGGAGAAGCGGTTAGCCTTCGACCGCGGGCAAGGCTTCCCGAATTATCGGCCGCTATTTCCCATCATTTTAAATACTATTATTCTCGACCTGTCGACGGTTGTTTAGGAAATGGTACGGCAGAGAGTGATCGTTAATCATACGTCCGAGCGTACCACTTGAGAGATATTAAGTAATTTGTAGAAACACACTTTACCCCTTTTCACCCTCTTAGGGGTTGAACTTGGAAAAGTCCCTTCTTAGTGAGCACAGATGTGTTACAAAAGGGGCAAAAATTTGCCCAAACTTCGTCGAATTTCAACGTATATTATATATAAGTACGAGAATCGACCGCATTGTCCGTAGAGAGCGCGTAAGCACATTTATTATTTGACTTGACGGAATACCGGAACAACCGGTAATGCCGTTGCTTATTTCTATTTCATTCCTCAAAGGGCGCCCGGATCGATTCGATCGTTTCAATCGACTTCGGCATTCTCTTACTAAGGAAATTAAACGAACGAAAAGACTGTCGCCCTTTTTTGTTTTCCTTTCTTGTTGACGTCCACCCATCACCGGGAAAAATTAAACGTCATCCGACACATAGCGTTGGATGACATGTTCACTACATCTTGAATCGGGTTAGAAATCGAAAAGTTGCTTTGCATTTATGCGTTCAAGGTTGGCACAATGCACGCGAAACAAACAAATCTTTCCGAATTGCCACGAATCAGGGACGGGCTATTGGCTTTTCCGGAATAAAAGTGTCTTTTGCAAAAACGGAAAATAGAACTTGCATTGCTGCAGTGAAAAGAAGAATCGATAAATTTCCCATAAGTATGGCGATGGCGATGTTTTGTGTAAGATTTCACATTTCACGTCATTAAGGTGATACGAAAGTGACATCCGAAAGGTCAATCGTTCGTGAAAGTACTCTCCGAATTGTTTCAAATTTTACCTCATGGATAAGGAAGCCCCAAGGTAGGTTTCGAAACTCGCAAAATTTCACTTTTTTTCATAACAAATTTTGAAAACAAACAAATCTTTTTTAAAAGTGAAATTTGATGTGGATCAGAACTTTCCATATAGTCTCCATATTCACGATGTAAAGTTTGAATCGATTCGGTACGCCCAGTTCGGAAAAAAGTTTCACGAACGAGACCTCTTCGACGCCACTTTCATATCACCGTAAGTTCGGTCATTAGTGCTCCGCAGGGCTCATATAACTCTCTAATTGAGCAAGTCAACGTTATCGAGTTCCCGTTGGCAGGTGCTGACAACCGCAGTTGAGTTAATCCTGCTGGTTACGTTATTGGCATTCTTGTTCACCTTCGCTGTGTTCACGCATATGATGGAGTACACCATCACGGTCGTACACCCTCTGCTGATGTTCATCATACGACAACTGGCGAAAATTATTTCCGTGAGTAGCGCATAACGTTTCTGGAGATGTGCACGGAAAAAAAGAATATCCTGGGAAATTCGCAGAAAATCATTACGTTTGCTGATAAAAGTGGGATGAGCAATACCTAGATTTCAGTTTAATATAGTATATTTGAAGATTTTATAATGATCAATAACACACGAGTTAAAAAAGAAAGACGCATTTTATGCAATTGTACTTAAGAGTTTTAAGTTCTTTTTTTAATTTATAAAATTGGATAAGAGCAAATGCATCTTTCCCTTGTTATCGAGGTATCATTGTTTTTCATTCATTTATGAAATGGAATGATAATGAAATTAATAATGTATTTCACGCAAGAGGTACCGCGAGCCGAAGTTTGGCTCCCGGTGGCGTATTATTAATTACATTATCTTTGGTAGAGAAATTCAATAACGTGGGAATCGAACACATCTTTACAATATTAGTATTTGTTACGAAACCGATCGAATTTAGGAAATTGACAAGGGGATTCGAACCGGATGAGGGTACATTTTGGCATCTGGGATGAAGTTACATAGGTGCCCAGAATTGTTGTAAAGTGAATACGGTATTATGGGCATGACCCTGTCGGAGGATTCGACGTTTACTAGATTTAATGAATCTTGCTGGCTTGCTTTGCGGTCATTTTCTTCGGAATTCGCGAGAGAGGTACTATTTTGGGTGAATGGAAACACGTATTTCTCCGCGAATGTAATGCGATACGCCAGAAAAATTTCTTAAACGTTCCGTGTTTCCGATTTGTTCAATATTACCCTAACGCACTGTTACGAACATTATCGGACAGGGAACACTCGGGGAAATTAACGGCAATCTCGGTTGTACCCTGAAAAGTATCTACGGTTTGGAAGTAATTTTGCTAAGAAATTTCTCCATTTTTTGTCGAGCCGCGACCCATTTCCCTTTACATTTTTCGGAAAAGCCCTTGTTCGTTGTCCTCATAAACCAGGAGCAAGCAAGTTTCATTACGCCGTAACTCGTCGGCATACCGATTTATTTCCAGAAAGTGCAAAAATAAAGGGCAGCCCTTTTCAATTGTTTGAACAGGGAAATTTCATTTTTGAAGGAGTAGAAAGTCGTTGTAAAGTCATCGTGGTGGAATATTGCCCATCGATGAAATCTTGTCGAGCTGGAAATTCTTTATTTCCGTGTAAGTCCTCGGGACGAGGTCTCACGGTGTAACGCGTATTTGCAGGACCTGGCCCTGAATAGGGGATGAAGTGGTTGGCGAGTAGGATATCAGCCCGACAGCCCGACAGGGAGTCCTGCGCGTACTCGTTCCATTCGCAGCACTCTCCTCGAGCAAAAATAAAAGCACCTCCTTAAAGGAACTCGGAGAGGACTTAGCTAACGTTGCGTTCCTCGTTGGCTGCAGTGCCTAATCGTTCTGATCGCCGGGTTGACGGTGTCCGTGCCGTACGCAATCAGCGGTCAGCAGGCCGAGATCAGCAGACGGGAGCAAATCATCGAGCTCTCCACCCCCGAGCTTTCCACCCCCGAGCTCGCGGCCCCCGAATCACCGGAAGAAGCCGAGGCGGCGCCGGATCCGATAGAAGAGCCAGCCTGAGGAACCAATTTGAATACCATTTTCGGCCGTATTCCTCGTGCGTCCTCTTTTTTCGGGAAAGAGTCCACGTATCGATTGACATTTTCTTTCACTTCTCGAACGGTTTCACATCCATCCAATATTTGTATGCGTCTTTTGCCCGGAAACGAAGCTCGTGTATCGACGAAACGTTACATGGCTCGTCAAACTTGATTAAAATAATGTTTTGCTATGTCACAGGTATCAAGGAGTAGAGAATAGTTCTTTTTTTCCGTGCGAGTCGTCGGAGGTCCCAAGGTGCAACGCGTGTTTGCAGGACCCGACCCTGAACAGGGGATGGGAAGAGACCATAAGTCCAAATTAAGGGGCGAGTTAATCCGCTCCAAGGATTTCGAGAGCGTTTAGTCGTAACGTTGCATTCCTCGTTGGCCGCAGTTCCTAATCGCGCGGATCGTTCGATCGATGACTATTCCGTGGCACGAGATACCACCGAGTGGAAGGAGTCGGAATCAAAGCCAAAGTCAACAGGGCGAGGTTGTTAAACGAGTACGATTCGTCGAACCATTGGAGCCATTGCTATCACCGACGTCTAAGATACTCGAAGGAACCACGCCCAAAGAGAAATCGGGATCTCGACACCTTAAATTACAAGCGAAAGGATCGAAACATAGTTCTGCACATTTTAATTCACGAACGGTGTAAGGTTGTCGCTAATTTATTTCGTTCTATAACTTATCCGAATTCAATAGTGCCGTATAAATACATTTGTTAATGAAAAATCATACTTTCAAATTAAACGGAGTATTTCGTTGATAATTACTTGCCATTAGCTGGATAACTTCACATATTTGTCTC